GTTCAGGCGAAGCTCGAGCGGTACCGGCACGAACGCGACGAACTTGCGCTGGCTTTGGAAGATGCCCAACATAACAAGGCCGGGTCAGACTCCGAGTCTGTGTCAAGCGAAATGAGCCGTGAGGAACGCAGCAACCTTCATGCTATGCTACGCAAGACTCAGGTTGAAGCTGAGGCTCTCGAGCACGATTTGCGGGATCACCGGACTGCCTTGGACGAGGCTGTGCGTTCGGAGGAGGCACTTCGCGCCAAGCTCGAACGTGTCCGTGGTGAGCGGGCAGCTTTCCGCGCAGATGTTGAGCGCCTGCAGCGCGAAGTCAATGACCTCCAGGAGACATCCAGCAAGACCAGGGCCGCGATGCACTACGGCACAAACAGCGACGCGCCAACCAACACCCGCGAGCTTGTCCTTGCCGCCGCCTCGGCCGGCCAGCACAATGGCAATGCCGACACCGATGCATTGGTGCGCGCGTCAGAGGAGCAGAGTAACCGCCATCGGAAGGAGCTGCGTGGCCTTGGTATGCAGATCGACTGGATGCAGGCCCGGTGGGAGCGTGAGGCGCGACTTCGGTGTGGCGCCGTCTTGGGCAAGCAGCTCGTGTCGCAAGATCTGGAGATGCGAATTAATTGGTATGTCTTTCTTTGCTTCACCTCTTCGTGTTTTGTACAGTTTTTAGCTTGTAATCGCCTGCTAACCATCCCACAGCAACAAGGCAGATCTACAAATGCTGCAGGGCATCCTACAACAACTGGGTGTCAAGCAGCCTGTTCTCCAATCGGCGAGCATCGACCTAGCGGCGGGCGGCAAGGGCCTCGTTACCAAGTCGGCTCGCAAGACGCTGCGTCGTGTGGTCCTGGCCGTGCAGTTTATGGTGCGTACACAGCGGGCGGCCAGCGCATGGTCGCAGCACGAGGCAACGCGGCAGCGACTGGCCACAGCAGCTGAGGGCGTCCGCAAAGCCGAACGAATGCAGCAGATGCGGGCAGCATGGCGCGTGCAGCTTGCGACCGCGGCATCGTCTGGGACGAGGCAGTAATCGGGACATGGGTAGCAGCGCGTGGTGAAAGGAAGGAGGGTCAAAAAGCATGAGCATTTCTCTGTGGTTTATGATATATGGCATGGGAGCGTCTTGGTGGAGTTTTTGGATGCTGCTTCGTTTTGGGCTTTAGTTTGAAGTTTTTGTTTTGGCTTGCATTTCGCATATTCCTTCTTTTTTCTAGGCTGTTTTTGGATTCGCATTGGGAGGTTTTTTCTATTTTCCAATTTTGATTCTCCTGAGTCCACACGGCTTTTGGTTTACATCAACATCCTACTCATCCTCGCATATCCAGTTGGTGATTCGTACACTGCTCTCCAAATGCAGACTTTTTGTTCATAATCGTTCGGTGTTTATATGTGCCGTGAAGCTTTGTTCTCATGTGTTTTGACTTTTTTTTTAAAAAAAAATTCTTCAAAATTATGAATATGAATAATGAAATAATGAGACAAATAAACAACTCAATAGAACATAACCCACCGGCAAATTGACGGTAACAAACTACCAGGCCAAGGTAGCAGCCAATTCCAGCCCATCATAGGGATCCCATGATGTTTAACGTCAAACAAAGGGGCAATTTTAGCTTCAAGACAACCCGCTTCATATTTCGTAGTTCAACCTCCGATGCCCTCTTCAGCCCTATACAAAGGGACGCGTCCTAACCCTACGAGGCTCAAGTGCGCTTCGATAAGATAGTTCATGTTCCTTGACCCTTGGGCGGAGTACGAAGTATTACAGACATTTCGTGAATTGACCAAACGGCTATGCCGTTTCGGGACAGGTCTCGTGCATGCCAGCAGCTGGCTTACCGCGGACCCCTGCACTGACGGCACCGATGATGCCTGAATGACGATGCGGCGAGACAGTTTAAGATGACCACGTCAACGGGGAGCACATGCAGCGCGCGAAGAAGAGTGGTCGCGTCTTCATGACCCTCGTCTCCCTATCAAATTTGCCCAACCATGCAAGCTGAAAGGAAACGACGATCTGCGACAAGCTGGCATGGTAAAATGACCACGAAGGAATCTCAATCAGCCGCAGCTACATTTGTCTTGCTCGTTGTTTGAATAGACCTGGACAGGCTTTTGGAAAGAGGCCGCTCGAATTGATGGATGCCGTGATGAGACTTGTTACAGTTTTGCTGTTACTGTTCCGATTCTGTCCCAAGCCCCGTTCCATAAGATTGGGGAGGCCAACTTTGATGGTGATGGGACCCTGCGCGATTTGACGGCATAAAGACATCACCGCCAAGACAAGGTGCTTGACGGGTATTTCTTGTATGTGTTCTGTATGGGCAGTGGTGAATGACAGGAATGCTAGTGTGCACCGAAGAGCTGAAAAAGCGCTGGCATTCCCCAGAAAAGGAGGCTTAGACACTTTGGGAAGAGCATCCGGCATTAGCTCGGGTAGACTAATGCGACAAAGACATCGACTGAGTCGTACTGCAGCACGAAGTTGCGACAACGCACTCCGCAGTTGCATTTTATAAAAAGAGGTAACCCGGCGTAGCCATGGCCGGAACTCTGCCGGTATGATGCCGTGTCTGTAAAAAGAAAGAGGATGGGGAGAGAACAAGGCTGGCCACACAGCCATCTGGAAACCGAATGTAAGACTAACATTACTGCGAAAGCATAGTGCGACTCAAAAGAAAGGTGGGCAGACTGAGGCCCGCGACATCACAGAGACTACAAGGCGGAGCAAGGGGACGGGGGTTGAGGGAGATCCCGATGCCGTGGTTCGAGAAAGGAGGAGGGAGTGTCCCGGTGGATTGGTTCATGGAATGCTGGCCAGTCTGCCGCATCGAAAGGCTTGTTAGCTATGGTTCCTTATTTCTCGCCCATCGGACTGCACAGTGCATGCCGTCTCTGTGGCAGCCCTGGCATTTCCTTCAGGATGACGGAGTGAAAGTCGAGACTGGGTTCAATTGTCGAGGCTTTGAGTGGTGTCCCAACCTGGTGATGGTTCGTGTAATTACCGGTTGGTCAGTGGATCGTTTCCTGTGACTCGTAGTTATCTGATGTTTCGGGGCATGTATTCCTTGCGTCGTCCGTACCTGTGTAGCATGCAAGGCCCTGTGTCCTAACGCAACAGCAGACTGCTTCGAAGGTGCGGAGTACAATAACAACCAAAAGCACACGAATTTTGCCATGCAATACGTTTCTGTTCGTCGTGGCCCGGGATATCCTGCCCAGTTGCGTCCAGTGTGATGTCGTATGTCGCATGGCAGCTGAGCAAGGACAACCCTGTCGTCCCAACACGGCATCGCAATGAAATCTCATGTTTTGGCAGATCGACAGCCTCTTGATGGCATGTCTCTCTTCACATATTCTGGCTTGCTCGGTCTCAATGCTTGGAATTCCGTCCCGGTTTCTTGTCCGCCTGCGGAAATTCGTAAACACAAGAGGCAATAAATAGGAAGGACGTGGCCGAAAAGTAACACACAGTGTGGTCTGGCCTCTGGCCACGGCCTAGTTTTGCATTGTCGCTTGGTGTCGACAGCGTGTTGAACCAACACGGTCTAGCCTCATATGCGGGCCCGCCATCGTATACAACATCATTGGACAATGGCCAGATGGACAGGGGTTCTCAGCTGGTCGCCTTCCCCGGCTTCAACCAAAAACGTGCGAGAGGCTCCAGTCGACAAACTGAAAGCCTCTCCGACGCACTGTTGACACTGTGCGTGTTTGCAGCATTTCGAAGTCTCCGAATCACAACGAATAAAAAGCACTGCTGGGACCCCTGACCGTCAACAGCGAGCCCAAGTTACATCGATGTATTTTTACTGCTTTTGCCGTGAGGCAGGTCGTCCGCGAATTGGCTATGATACGGTCGGTGGATGTCGTCTGTATTTCGTGCGCGCGGGAGGTCCCTTACCCATGCACGCGGAAAAGCCTTCTAGTCGGACGTACCCGTTTCCTGTTGCGCGAACTTGGGCGCACAGCCTGCCCTGGCCAGCGTGCATGGGCAGGGAGCGGCAATGTGAGGCTGTAGTAAAACTCCGTACAAGCCACCGGGACACGGCTGGCCACCGTTGCTGGGCCTATCCAGGTTTCTGTGCAAGCTTCGTGAGTGCGTTGGCATACTCATTGCTCCCTTGGGCCGCCGTCCTATCACTCTCTAGTCGCTCTGTCTGGAGAGGACCACCACGCCCACTTGCCGACCTGCCGGGATGTGTTGATTACTTACGGGGCCATGATATTTCTGTCTGTAATTTTGGCACGTTCGGCTGGCTGCTGGCCGCCGTCTGCAAACCGCGATCTGCTAGGGTGGGAAATTGCGCTGTCTAGAATTTTGCGTGTTGCTGCTATGAACAACGACTGGAGCTCTCTGTTGATCAGCCGTGGCAATATTGCGACGTTGGAGCGCAAAAGTTTTGTCGCCGTGTTCAGCCTCGGCGGCAAGGGAATAGAATGAAAATAAAGGGGAGGGGGGGGGGGCTCGAATCTGTCAGGCAAGTGAGAAGCGACCAAAATATCAGCGTTGGATGGCAAGGCAGGGGACGGTGCTGCGCACCATCGCACCTGCTGCTTATCGCAGTAAATATCGAAATATCGAAATATCGAAATATTGAAATATCGAAATGCAGTACACGTAACGCAGTGTCCGTTCGGTCGTTGGGAAGGCGCGACTGGGTCGCACATGTAACCCTGTATGTCATACTGTCCGCACCTGTGGTGTTGCAACCACCTGTATCCGACCCCATGTTGCCAGACGAACGAAAGTACTGAACATGTAGACCAGACAAGGCGGAGCGGTGCTATGTGCATCTCACCCAACCATATGCGCTGTTGGAATCTGCTCCATCTGCCCCATCTGCTCCATATGTTAGCGCCGTCATGCGAAGGTCGGTCTTTCCCATTCAAGAATGCCTGACTGACGGAGCCAGCGCGAAGCGAAGCCTCCCCATCCAGCTGGTCGTGCCCACCCAAAGGAAACTCCGAGCCTGCTAAGAAAGGAAAGGGCGTTAATTACATGGCGAAAAGGCTGGCGCAAGACCACGTCTGTTTGCTCCCACTGGGTCCCTCCTGTCCCAGCAAGAACTAAAGGAATGGACGAGGAACGAACCTACAAAAGGACTCTCGCGCCAGCCATCCTTGTTAGCAACGCCGACACAAAGGAAGCCGCAACCCGCTACGGCGAACCGTCCCTCTAAGTTACCTCCAATTTGCCACTGTCCAATTGCGTTGCCTGGCGCCGCGCCCGAGGAACTCGCTAGCGGCCAGCAGTGGTTGGTGTTTCCTTCTTTGTTTTTCTTGAACTCGCCTTCCGCGCCGGTTTCCTTTCTCTTCCGACCCCTTTCGTTAGCCAGGTTCTCCTCCTGCCTTCTGGTCCGCATTGCTCTTGATTCTGCCATATTTTCCCGGCCTCTTTTGCATCGTCACAGCTTTTTGTCAGAGCTCCTGCCTTCCGTGCTCCAACCTTCCTTCGTTGCTTCCTTTCTGGCGTCCGTCGTCTGTCCGATCTTGCCTGGCCTTCCTGGCATCCAATCAAAGCTACCCCTCTCGGTCCTCCCCCCCACCACCTCGTCTGTTCTTTTTCTCCTCCTCTCGTCACGCTGCTCACGTCCATTGGGCATCTTTCTTCCACCCTTTTCTCGCCCTCACACGAGCCTGTCCTTCGCCGCCTTTACCAGCAACTCGAGTGGCCACGGCTGCATCCCCGCCTCTCCGCCACTTACCAGTTTGAGCGCCCGTCTTACCCGCGTTAATATTTCTGTCGTCACCGCAAAGTTTCGATTTATACCCGATCATCACGCTGGGCTCTCCCTCGTCCCCGACCACTCCCGGACCCTCTTTCGGGCATCGCCCAATCTCCCGGTCGTTGCTGTAAGTGCTCGTCGTTCGTAGATCTGTTCATGGAGCTTCACACACCGCACCAGTCCTGTTGCTACCCCACTCCGTTTCCATGCGACGCTCTGCGCGTCCCACCGCGACCGTAAGTTGAGCTTAAGTTGAGCTTCTGGTCCGAGTACCACGTCTGTCGTTCACCCTCACGGCTCCCTATTCAACCTGTTTCCTCCGTCACCATTCCCATTCCTTCTTCGGTGCGGTCATTGCTTGTTTCTCCCACCTCGTGGTCCCAAGACTCAAGCCAGGGCCTCTCAACCTCTGATCCCAATTGCTTCTGTTTGTCACCTTTCTTTGCCTTACACCTTTGCCTGCAGCCTTCGCGCATCGGACGTGCCTTCTCAGCTGGTGGCGCCCATGTCCGTTCCCATCATTTCTTTTGCTTCAGCCCAAGGCTCTCACTGCACTGACCCAAAACCCCCCCGAGTCTATTCTTAAAGTCTGGGCCCCTAGTTTCCTTCTGCCTTTGCCTAATTGAGCTCCATCAGTATTCCTCCGGCCAGTATCCCATCCATCACCTCTTCAAACTGGAAATCCTACTGCCTTTTTATGCTTCATTCATCTGTTGTCTTTTCTCGCAACGAATGCGTGCTAACGCTCAGTGCCAAGGCTGCCGGAGCTCTCCTACTGAATAATCCATACTTGGCCTGATTTGTTCTGCTGGCCTCTTGATAAAAATCCTTTGTCGAGCCACCGAAGTCGTTACTACCCACCTTCGAAAGAGCCTCGGCGCTTCCCGACGAACCTCGACGGATTCTAGTTGTTCGCCTGCTTTTGTCTCGTCATTACGAACCAGACAGCCGAAGCGTGCCGCTTCATTGCGCGCATTTCCGGCCTATTTGCAACAACGTGACGGCTACTAGACAGCACAGACATGTCTGGATACCCGGGACAAAATTACGGCCCTTACGGCGCTCCGCCGCCTGGCGCATTCCCTCCCCAAGGCTACTTCCCGTGAGTAACTTCCGCCTTCCAACTTTCGACGCACGAACTTGGTCAACCTGCCGGGAGCCCGCCTTGTGCCTTTTTATTGTGCTTCGTGTGTACCCTTCCCGTGTTTTGGGCAACTGCATGCTAATTCCGTCTTGGCAGTCCGCCTCAACAGTTCAACGGATATATGCCACCAGGTCCTGACGTCCCGGCTTATGGGTTCCATCAGCCGCCCCCGCAACCATATGGTTACAACCAGGTACGCAGCGTCACATTTCCACCCAAGTGTTGTCATCTCGCATGCTTTGCGTAGTGCCTGTAGAATTAACAGCATCTTCCCAGCCACCGCCACAACAGCACTTTGGCGGTGTCCCTTTCAACGGCGGCCAACAGCAGTTTGGCGGCCCCCGGCAGTGTAAGTAATGACGTGCATTGAGTCCGCTCACCTCTTTATCTTCCGACGTATCTAACTTGGCTAGCGAGCGCCGCCTACGTCGACCCCAACATCCACAAGCCTCCACAGACGCCTCAGCAGTTCGGTAACGGTGCTCCAACCGGCTACAACTTTCAATACTCACAATGTACTGGACGGAGGAAGGCCCTTTTGATAGGCATCAACTACTTCGGCCAACGGGGACAACTTCGGGGCTGTATCAACGACGTCCGGAACATGTCGTCCTACTTGGTGGAGAACTTTGGCTACAGGCGGGAGGATATGGTCATTCTCACAGACGACCAGCAAAACCCTATGAGCCAACCTACCAAAGAGAACATCCTGCGCGCGATGCATTGGTTGGTCAAGGACGCCCGGCCAAACGACTCGCTTTTCTTCCACTACTCAGGTCACGGGGGCCAGACGCGAGATCTTGACGGCGATGAAGACGACGGATACGACGAAGTCATTTACCCAGTCGATTTCCGGACCCACAGCCACATCACTGACGACGAAATGCACCGCATTATGGTCCGGCCACTACAAGCTGGCGTTCGCCTAACTGCCATTTTCGACTCATGCCATTCGGGAACGGCCCTCGACCTGCCGTACATTTACTCTACGCAGGGCATCCTGAAGGAGCCTAACTTGGCCAAGGAAGCCGGCCAGGGCCTGCTCAACGTCATCTCGTCCTACAGCCAGGGTGATCTTGGTGGAGTTGCCCATAATATCATGGGCTTCTTCAAGAAAGCAACCGGTGGTGATGAGGCACATGCTCGTACTCTTGCTACCAAGACGTCGCCGGCCGACGTCATAATGCTTTCAGGTAGCAAGGACGATCAAACTTCGTACGTACCCTCCCATGGTGGCATCACCTTTTTTTTGTGTTTGATGGATATAAACAGCCGCTAACATCTTTCTTTTTCTAACAGTGCCGACGCTACGATTGCATCACAAGCCACTGGCGCTATGTCGTGGGCGTTCATCTCCTCTCTCAGGAAGAACCCCCAGCAAAGCTACGTTCAGCTGTTGAACAGCATCCGTGACGAGCTATCCACTCGTTACTCTCAGAAGCCACAGCTGTCGAGTTCGCACCCTCTCGGTAAGGCCTCTTTTTTGCAAGCATGTATTTTTATTTATTTATGTTGCTGCTTTCCACCACGCCGAATCGTTCCTTAAACGACCATATACTAACTGAGACGCAGATACAAACCTATTATTTGTCATGTAAATGAGACTTTATATGACAGACAGGGTTTCTTTCGGTAAACCACAAGTGTGGCCACTGGGCAAATTACAACATTCTTTCCTTTCGCCTTTTCGTTTGGTTCTCGACTTTGTTCGCTACTTTTGCAGAAAGACAATTGTTACCGAATGTCAAGCTGTCATTTCCGTTATCGTCCATTGCGCTTTCTATTCTTAGTCACCACTTTTTTTTTTAAACATTTTACATTTCTTATTTGTATATGGGTTAATCTTGGGGGGTTATTTAAGGACAAAAGAGAGATGGACCGGTCTATTTCTTATAGCCAACATTGTGCACAATTGTTGTTGTTTATTCCCACTTGCTTATATTATAAACTTACTACTTCTTTTTTTCATCTGGTATTACAAGTGACCATTGAGAATGCGCAAGCCCTTTGCGTCGTTTTCCCTTTTCAAATCCGTGAAAAAAGTGCGTTTTTTTTATTTTGTATTGCTTAGAGACCTACTAAACTATGAAGCGTTGCGAAAAGGCAGCTTCGCCGCACTCTTTAAGGCATTGTAAAAAGCAAACCCTAGACGAATCGTTGCTCGTCTTTATATTTTCCAGCGCCAGTTCACTTCGCTAATATTTCTCATGCGTTACGCGTCACCGCCCATCTTCATGTCAGTGTCCTGCTCGCGCAACAGATAGGCCATCATGGCCCAAGAAAGTCGCATGGCCTTTAACCGGTCCTCAACCTTAAAGAAATCGAACCAAGGACTGCGAACCACTTCAAGCCCTGCCCATTTTCCATCCAGGGCCACGTCGTCTCCTGCTTCGACCCCGTCCAGTGCTTGCAGCAACCGCTGGGATACACGCACACGCACAATGGACATGTGGTGGAAGAGTGCGCTCACGACGAATATGTCATCGTAATCGGCGTCAACTTTCCGGCCAATGGCTTGAAACCGTGTCTTTTTGTCCCAGCTAGAACTCGGGGGGCGCACCATGCGGTAGTTGTCGTACATTGCCAAGCCTTTGCGCGGCTTTTTCGTCGCACCACGGACGGGCATACCGGTGATGCTAAAGGCAGATTCGAGGGCATTCATCAGGTTGGCTCGTCCGCCGCCGCCGCCTCCGCTGATACCCCCCGTCCCTCTTCCGGATGAAAATCGTCCGGGCCGGGGTAGCCCACTGCTGACAGCACCGCTATCAAGGCCGCTTCCGCCTCCAGGTTCATTAGCACTGGTGCCTGCACCCTCCTCCTTTGCAGTGGTATCTAGGACCTCGTCTGTATTGGGAGCGGAGTCCACCTCGCGACCAATTGGGCCGCCAGAGCCGCCACCCCAGCGCGGCTTCGTAGCCCACCACTCGCCTTTGCCTATGCGGCGCTCTGCACGGCCCTCACGTGCCCGGTGTTGGGCTGTCAGGAGTGCCGCAACGAGTTCACGTGCAAGGTCGATGGACGAGTCTTTGTCCGACCCTGCTTCCTCAGAGCCGCTGGAGAACGTTGTCGTATGGCGAGCGCTAACGGCGGCTAGAGGGCCGTCGACAAATCCTGCGCGGGCCGCTTCCCGTGTTGACGGTGTGCGGAATACAAAGACACAGCCCGAGGAAAAGTAAGAGCTGGGGCCCTTTGGATACCTCAACGCTTGGACTGCGTGTGGCTGATCCTGGTTTTGTTTCTGGACTTCAACGTGTCCTTTTTTGTCAGACGGATTGTCTTGCGCTTCTTCGAGCGATATTGTCCCCGTGTTGAGGTATAGACGCGGCTCCACACGGGGTGCAGAAACATTGCAGCCAAAGTCATAGGCGACAAGCTTGAGGAAAGCTGTGATAATATGGAGTCGATATTCTGGCGGCATCTGACTGCCAGCGTTGGTTCGGTAGAAGCGGAACTCGGGAACGGACGGTACACCGTCCTTGGCTGGTGATGAGGGTTTACTTTCCGAGTCCGT